TTATCATCATTTTTTGGGTTAAATTAGAGATATAATACATTTAACTTTTGATCGATAACTAAATTCTTTTTTAGACCGAATTATTTAAATTTAATACCACTGAAAAATAATTATGATTAGTTATCCGTTAGTAGTGAGAATTGAACCTTAGTCTTAGCCAAATCGATACAGTTCCTTTATTGCTAGATTTCATCCTTTGTGTGGGGCCCCGGCTCCCTTGTCGATTACTTAAAAGGCGTGGCTAGGTGCATCACGGTTTAAAGACCGAAGTCTCAAATTTAATCCCATACACATATAAAATGTACTTGAATATCATTACAAAAATTATAAAATATAATTTACAAGCAAAGGTAGATCTTATAATTGTCGTGTCACACATAAGCCTTTTTTCTAGGAGGAACCAACGGCTTCATTTTCAGCATTATCATTGTCTCTATCCGTCATGGCATGAAATAAACATAGAGTGAGCCGAAGCTCGGTAAGTAGGGTGATGCACGTGATATGCAATGATTTTCTAACTTCCCCACCTTGACTCATCAAATTTTAATTCCAGGTGCCTTAGGTATTAACAAGTCTACTCTATTTTTAATCTAGGTGATCCGCGGATCACCTTCTACTACAATGGAATTATCCCTCTTTGTAGCCACCGTTAGCAAGAATCCATCATCTAACGAGTGCATTCGTCTAACGAGTGTAAGCACACAACTTAGAATACGCACACGAGCTAGACCGCTAAAACCCTTTTTTATCCGAGTAGGTTACCAAACCTATCCAAATTCTATCCGATTCGGTTATCAAACCTCATCGCTTTCGACTCAATGATTTTTTTCTCAATTTAATCATTCTCATATGCATATGATGCAAGTGAAGTATCATGAATCATATTCCACCAAGTCATAGGTACTAAACCCGTCGATTCCATACCATTGAGTTCACACAAGGAATTCAAAACCTGTCTAATAGGGTTAATCCATTCCACATATCATGAACTACATTCCATATCAATATAAAGAAACCATTTTGGAACTCAATTTCTAAAAGTCGGGTTTAAACCGAGTGTCTCCTAATAAAATTCAAATTTTTGTTTTTCTTAGGATCTAACCTTTCTACACTTTATTTCATACCTACTTAAGCATATTTAAACCATTGATTCATAATTTGGGTGAATGATATTTAAAACTCGAGTTCTAGGGTTTTTGGCCGAATGGTTCAAATAGGGGCAAGGTTTATCTTTTATTCTTAAGTCATTTCTTTCCATCTTAATGTATTAAATCATACTAATGTGGATTAACTTGGAAGTCTAGATCTCTAGGTCCATAAATATAAATCCAACTTGATCATTTTAGTACCAAGGTTCACTAAGTGTTCTTAGGATATCCAAGTCCATTTATTTTCATCCAACTCATTTTGTTTTAGTCCAAGCCCATTTATTTTAATCCAAGCCCAAGTCCATTTATTGTAATTCAATTTCATTTTATTTTAATCCAAGCCCATTTTATTTTAACTCAAGTCCATTGATTGTAATCCAAACCCCTTTTTATTTTAGTCCAAGCCCAATTTGTTTTAGACCAAGTCTATATGTTTTATTCTAAGTCCACTTTATTTTAAATCTAAGCCCATTCATACATATCTTTCAAACCCATATGGTTATATTAGGATGGCTTAGGTGTCTAACTAAATACTTAGGCTAACTAAACACCCTAATTAACTAAGTTTAAGTACCTAAACTCATTTCTTTCGTTAAATTTCAGAAATCCCTCTCCCTAAATTCGAAAATTTCCAGCAGTGGTACATCTAAATATTCCGTATCAAATCAGCCATAAATATTTATATATAGATCTAAAAATCATGAAATTTTACAGAGAGCTAGAAGACACATAGATGAACAGCTTTTATTTTTTAAGTTTTATTCAAAAATCACTCTAAGATCCTTAAATAAATTCTACAAAGTTCGTAATTTTTCTCCCCTAAAATTCGAAACTTTTCTTTAAAAATTTTTCTTTTAAAACATATTTCTCATCACATATAGTTATCACCAAACAAACCCATTATCCATGTATAACCATCCATCATCATACATATACATGGCATACTTACACATTCTAACATAAAGTTTACGATGAAATGCACATCCAACATCCATAATAAATCCATCATCAAACATCAAATTTTTAACATGAACATAAACTGCCATAACTACATATTACATGGCTTAAACAAACTCATAAACTAAACATGAAAATTTAAAATTTTAAGGTATAAATAAAGCTAAATGAAACCCACTTACAATGATGTGTGTTTGGTTAAGATTTCTTAGCCTTTTTTTCTCTTTCTCCTTCCTTTCTTTCCCTTCCTTTTCTCCTTTCTTTCTTCCTTTTCTTTTTCTCCTTTCTTTCCCTACAAAACCATCCCTCTCTCTCCTCTCTTTGAAAGCTAAGGTTTTGCCAAAAAAAAAAAGGCAAAGTTTTAAGCTTTTTTTTCCATTTTTATATCACACCTTTTTAAAGCATTATTTCTTTTATGTTTTAGTATGTTAAGTGTTCAATTTTTATGATAAGACAAGTCAAGTGTTCAAAAAGAGAGGCAAGTTGGAGTGTTTAACTTTTCAAAATTGAGTGGGAAAATACAAATGAAAGTATGGTAGAAGATTTATGTCACATCACTAACTACGGAGAGAAACTAAAAGGTAACTAAACTAACTAACTTCTTTACCTTATTTGGTTCCTAAAATTCAGCCATGACTTTTAAGTGGGATATATTTTTCACTTGCATGGTCATTTTAAATATACATTATGAAAAAATAAATAATGGTTAATTAAATTTCAAAAAAAGTATTCCTATGAACAATTCCATAAACCTTAAATATTTTCACACCACAAATATAAAAGAAATGGCACATAATTTATGCTCACATAATCATGGATATTTCAAGAGATATTTAGGCTAAAGAATTAAATTTCGGTATGTCAAAATTTTTTTATTTTAATTTTTTTTACCGAAGCATCTTAAACTCACCAAACACAAACATAACACAAAAATCATAAGCTGCGACTTAGTAGATGTAAATAAAATTATTTTCGTACGTATAGCTACGTTAAGCAAGTTCACGGGAGTTACACCTTGTCTTTTGTAATTAAATGTTATGAAGCTATATTGGATCCATAAACAAAATATTATAAAACCATACCATAAATGCATGGTCAATTGTTTCTTAAAAAGATATTAATAAACCGAGACTTTCGTTAATAAGAAACTTAGAATATTTCAATTGGTTAATATTAAATCTAGATTTTATTTCTCCAATTGAAAATGAAATTTTGGATGGTAAATGACTGAAAATGACTTCAACCATCTTACCAATTGTCAACAAACTTGCATAATTGTCGACCAATTAACTACTCAACATACTAAAATAGAAAAAAAGTATTTTCGCCTATTATTTATAGCCAATTATCAACCACCACAAACAAACAATCAACTAATCATGTAATAAATTAGAAAAAAAAAAAAACAAAATAGGAAAGCTAAAATTGCAATTTGAGTATTCATTCATTTATTTATTTTTATGTTTGAATGCAAATTCTTCTATTTGAGTTCTTAAGTTTTGTAATTTTTTTTTATATCCACAATCAATTGATACTGAAAAATACTAATATGTCTAGAATGAACAACTATACAATAATTTTTAATTGATACATGACACAAAGTGGATTCTACTTGTATTATTTAGAATTTTTTTTTGATATTTTTAAGATAAAGCTGTAATTTGAGTGCTTAATATTTGATTAGTTTTTTTTTTATTTAAGTGCCTAAAGTTTGATTTTTTTTTCTATTCGAGTTCTATTGATCATCTAAGATTGAAAAATACTAATGTGGTTAGAATTCGGTGACACATGACGAGTCGTTAACTAACACGTGAAAAAAAGTGAATTCCACTAGATTTATTGAGAAAGAAATAAAAATAAAATTTTATAGCTGAAGATAATTAAAAAACTCAAAATCAATTATTGTGTTATCTAAATGAACTTAAAAAGTTTGCTGATCAATTTTTAAAAAACTTTCAAAAAATTATCATCTAAACAATTCGGGTTCATTTTGCTAGCAATAATTGCTTTTTTCTAATTCTTGCTAACTATTTTCTTTTAATTTTTTCTCAATAAATCCGAGTGAGATTTACTTTCTACCATATGCCGATTAAATACTACCACATTTAGTGGTTTCAATCATGTTAGTATTTTTCAATCTTAAGTCGGTGATGAAACTCGGATACTTAAATTATATATATATATATTATGAATAATTTATATGGGATCTATTTTTTATCACTTGTTAGGTCAAAACTATCACGTGACAATTCATGCCGAACACATTAATATTTTTCAGTCTTAGATGATTGTGGATACTCAAATAGAAAAACATAATAAATAAAATTTGAAAATTCAAATAGAATGATTTACTAACTAAACACTCAAACAGGAAAAAAAATAAACAATTACACACGTAAATTGTAATTTTCTCAACAATAAACAATAAATTATGCTAAAAATGTACACACATTAAAAAATAAAGTATGAATTCAAGGTAAAATAAATACAATTAAGAAAAATATTTTTGAAAACAAAAAAATAAGAAATTAAAGAATAATGCTATGTAAATAAATTTTTTATACAAAATTCTCATACAAACATACGTAGTATGGATTTATATAATGATAGATCAATCATTTATTAGTTATTGGATCTATACTTTACCACTTATCACTTAACTCATGAGTTCGTATGAAATATTAGTATTAAAAGTTTGTTTATAAATTATTTTCCGAAATCAGATTCAAAAATAAAAACCTTAGAAATATCCTCCCAAACAAGTCCTAAGAACACTTCCTACGAAATCAACGGCAAAGATTCAATCTCTACGCTATAAATACGAATCGCAGTCTCCTTCTCTTTCACATCTCGAGCCTTCATTTCTGCGGAGACTGAGAATTCGAAGGCCAAAAAATGCTTCTTAGGAGCTCATCAACGCCAATACTGAACTCGTGGATCCCTCCACACTCAAAAGAACCATCACCAGAACCCGAATCTTTACCCCAAATCCCCAAATCCCGTTCCATTTCGTTAACATCATCTTCTAGTCCGTTTTCTCCCATTTCTTCACAGGATCATGATTCTATTAAAAGTATGACTAGAGCCTTTTCCGAGACTGATTTAAGGGACCTTGCAGTGCCAAAGAGAAAACTCAGTAACGGAATCTTCAATGGAATCACCGTTGAGGAGGAAGTTGGAGAAGAAGTGGAGAAAAAGGTGTCCTTTATGGAGAGCGGTTTGTTTCTTGGAGGGTGTGAGGTTGGAGAGAAGGGTGAGGGTTGTAATGATATGTTAGGGGTTTTGGTGACAGGTGGTGGTAGTGGTGGTGGTAGAGGGAAGTTTTGTGGTGGTGGTGGGTCGGGTTTTGGTGATGATGAAGGATCCGGGTTTTGGGAGTCTAATAAGGGGATTGAGAGTACTGATGTTTATTATCAGAAGATGATTGAAGCTAATCCTGGGAATCCTCTTCTTCTTAGTAATTATGCAAAGTTCTTGAAAGAGGTATGTCTTTGAAAGTTTGAAATATTGCAAAAGGTTCTTGCTTTAATGGTTTTTGGAATTTTTTTTTGTTGAATTGGTTTGTGTAATGGTTAGATCATGTGTTTTGTGTTTTGTTTTTTGAAGTCCAAAGAAATGGGAAGCTATGTTTCTGTAATGTATGGTTAATGTAACTGTATATTAACAATGAATAGCTGTCCGAAATTTGTGCTTTTAAACTCCTTTTTTAAATAAAAGTTCTGTTCTTTATTAATGGGAATTCACTTTTAATCGAAATTCTCAAAAGTATAAAGTTTTCGAAGCTCTATGCTACAGAGTCATTCGAAAAACTGTTTTTTAGACAATAAAAACTAGTATTCAAACACAAAATTGTAAGCATAGGAATAAATTAGTAAGTGAATAGGAGCCAATCTTGGTAGGCAGGATTGTTCTGATATATTGTTTTGGAATTGAAACAGGTCCGTGCAGATTTTGTAAAAGCTGAAGAGTACTGTGGGAGAGCGATTTTAGCAAACCCAAATGATGCAGATGTTCTTTCAATGTATGCTGATTTGATATGGCAGAGTCACAAGGATGCTTCTCGTGCCGAATCTTATTACGATCAAGCTGTTAAAGCTGCCCCTGATGATTGGTAAGCACCATTCTTGATTGGAGAGTCCACTTAAAATTTGCAGCTGGAACCTTATAAACATGAATTGTATCATGTTCTTAGTTTCAGTGTTTATAGGGGAAAAAATTGTATGTACATAGACAGCTATCAGTATTACAGTATCATACTTTTCTATTGTTGCTGTAGTTATTCTTGGAATCTGCTGTGATGGATGCCGTGTATTAAATATGTTTTTGTTTTGATGCTGCAGTTACGTGATGGCATCCTATGCTCGGTTTCTTTGGGATGCTGAAGAAGAAGAAGAGGATGAGGAAGCGGGGGAACAGGGAGAAAATCTGAGCGAATTGTCACCGCCAACATTTTTCCATGGATCCAAGCCTCCTCTCCCTCCTTTAGCCGCTGCTTCTTGAGACCTCCACCTCTCTTAAAAAACTTGTATCATAGCTTAGACATAACTTCTGACCTATGTTTATAACATCCTTTCCCTTTTGCAATTTTTTTTAGTAACCTTTTAAGCTTTCTTAGATAAGTTGTTTTAACTGATTACTATGCCTTGCTCGTCAAGCCAGTCGAGCAATTTGATGTAGAAAGCAAATAAAAAATAATGAGTTCTTATGGAAGACCCTCCTCTCTCTCTCTCTCTGCTTAGCTTGTTGCATAATTGTCAATAAATTTCCTGTGTTCTGGTAGGTATTGCTGCAAGTTCATAATGGGGTGTTGCCGGAACTTTGAAGCTTGAGCTCTCCTTTCCACTGATTTTGCAAGTATAGGACAAGCATAGCGGTTGGTCAGAAAAGAACTGTCCAACGCTTCAGACAAGAAGAATGCCTTTGTGCATGATATGTAGCGCTTCTTATTACTCAGTTTTAAATTAAATAGTTTTAAATCGTGGAAGATTAAAAAACCGACAGCAGTCGTTATCACGGATTGCAGTAATCGTTACATAATGATTGTTATATAACACAACGAGTATTATTTAAAACGATTGTTATTTAAAACTATGGTCATGCTTCTCCTTTTAACTTAAAAGAAAATGATAGAGCCTGGATGTGCTTAAATCTTTTAACTATCGACCATCTAACTTCCCCTGTGTTCAATAACTTTACCGATGACCAAAGTTAGCAAGCCCTAGTGGTGTCAAAATTTCTATATGCAGTTTGCTAGTACACCAAGGTGACCTGATCTACAAGTGTGCCAACATGTGAATTGTTAGGGCTTGCCATAACATCAAGTTTTGGGGCTCTAACACGACGTCGGCAAAGCTACGCTTGCGACTCAAGCTAAGACCTGTTTGACCGAATTATTGCAAATCTTTTTGGTTCCTGCCAAATCCCTGATTGATTTTATCAAGCTGCTTCCAGCTAGAGAATGAGAATAGTCAAAGTCTCAAGATAGACAAGGGGAAACAAAAATCTTGTGCTGATTGGCTGTCTGACAAGCCGTCTTTGAACATTATAGCTTCATTTTTAAACAACTCACTAACAACTACTGGGGGATTCTGAATGACACGTTCAGAGATATTTGCGAGATTTTCTTGCTTTAATATCTTTCAGGGTATGTTTAAGGCCATTTGGTCCCTTGTTAGAACAGCCTTTCGAGTGGGAATGTGAACGGGAATATTTGGTGACCTGTGCTTTAGAAAGGGTAAAGAAGTGTAATTTAATCTTTTTCAGAACAGAAAGGATAAGGATACTTTCACACAGAAAAGGAAATCAGCTGATAGCTTTAAGTTCATACCATGTAATAGGAATTGCCATCAATTATTCTTAGTACTAAGCCCTAGTTAGCATAGTTGTTGAATTTTTAGTTATAGATCTACTCTGCTTCCAGCTAGCCCTGATAGCACAAAGGATCAAATGATCCAAAACCAGCCAATAACCGATCCACCAACTAACCCTATTCCTAGGAACACAACCATTACAATTGCAGATAACTCTGCTTCTGAAACTGATACTGACTTGGGAGTTAGGATCATGAGAACGCTTGTCAGATATCCGTTAGTCACTCCGAGCATGAAAGTTAGAACTGCCACCGGTACTTCTGTTTTCAGCCACTTGGGTCCATTGAGACAGGCTGCGAAGAGTGGATAGAACACAAGCCTGAGAATGCAACCCCATGTTGCCTTCTTAATGCTCTTTAGAATATATATTGCAGTTAAAGATTTCCCTATGAAGTCTGCAACATTGTAGATTGTTATCAGCAAAACTGGATACCAATCTTTTAGTAACTTGGACGAGAGATCTTCTGCTATGAAACCAGGAAATATCGACAAGGTTACGATATAAATCATGAGAATTCCAAAAGCTGGCCGTCGGATATTTCTTGCTACAGCCCGAAATTTTGGCTTTGGATACAATGAATCAACAGGAGTAAGCTTGTAATGCTGCTCCATAACAGGTAGTTTGTATAACAAATTGCAAGAGAGAGTGCAAAACAGCAGAATGATGGCACTAACTATAAAGTAGAAGTGAGCACTTGTTCGGAGACCTTGAGGGCTCTGAGGGAGCGATGCCTTTGTTATAATCCTCAAGATGGAAATGAGAACTCCTGTTACAAGCAATTGATGTGGTCAGGGGAACTGAGTATGATTCTTTGAGCTGACTAACAACATCTGCTTGAAAAGAGAAGACTTGGTTTCACTCACCTACTCCTTACGTGCAGAATCAAGTTCAAGCAAGACAACTAACATGTATTTTCCATCTTTTTTCTAAAAATTCTCTTAAAAAATTATACAGTTTAAAACTATTACAGGGAGGAATGACAGATAGTGGCAGTACATTGAGGCTGTAATACTCTGCAATACCGAAAGTAAAGAAATTCAGAAATCACTTGATGCTCCACATGGCATGGAAACTGTTAGTCTTTCCGGAAGTTTATGTTGTGCCAAAAAAGTCCTTGTCGGCAACGACTGGAAAGACAAAAACATGCTATTGCTGGAAATGGCTACTATTTCCTAGTAATCTGTTTAAGGAAAACAGTAAGATTTGTGCCTTGATGTAATTTCTAGGCAGTACATCCTTAACTTTCTGGCCCTAAAAAGCAGAAACAGTCTCCCTAGGATGCTATTTATCTTCCTCAAACTCTCTCCAATAGAAGAAATCTTTTTAATGACTTATAGGTTTTTTGCTTCCAATTCGTACTTTGGAAGAGACAAGTTGAATCATGGAAGAAATGAGAAGAAAAATTAGAAGGTGCAGGATTATATAATACCTGAAGAGGCAGTTCCTGCAAAAACAGCCTGCATGTACTGTTTCGGAAGCTTTCCAGCTGCTCCTATCAAACTTCCTCCTATCAAGCCATCAGCGATGCCACAAACCACAACTGACGCAACTGTCACACAGTAGGCTCCATTTGATCTCCCTTTTGGGCCACTGCTGCTCCAAGACCAGTCTATCACTGGAGCCACCATTAGAGAGAGTATAAACATGCAAAACCCCATGTTCATTCTCAATCTGTAACTTAGCTGCTTGCTCCAGCCACCCGAACTCATGACTATCACTAGAACTAGCACTGAAGAGCTCATGTAAGCTACGGAAAAGACCTTCTCAATGTGCTTGGTCGGATAGAGATAGCCAAAGTAATCAATAGCTGTGATGAAAGCATTCCACGGGAGCAAATTGCCAGCACCAAGCAAAAAATGGATTATGTAAGCAATCTTGAAGGTGTCTCTTGGCTCAGGATGACTTGCAGATCCTTTCTCAGCTTCCATTTTTTGCATTTACATTCTAACAACCTTGGTTGGAAGTTCAGCTAAATATAGGCAGAAGCCAAGCATTTCGAATTTGCGATATGTCATGTTGATTAGAAAGGCATAAACAAGCTGAGCTTATAGAGGAAACTCTATCTAGCTATCTGGGCCCTGCTTGTCAGAAACTATGTACGTGCTCATCTTTATGTAACAAAGCATAACTTGCTAGACCAAAAAAATACTACTACTTGCTAAATTTTAACTTCCTAACATAAGCCAGCAGGCCTAGTTGATAACTCTACAATTTTTTTTTTTTTTCCTTTCAGATTTGATTGATGGGCTGGTTATGGAATCAATGGGGCTAATTCATGTAGAAAAATTATGCAGTGTGGGGACATCAATGGATGGGTGGTGTTAGAAGCACCTTTAAGTGCACTACCAGCACATGGCGTAGGCTTGCTGGCATTGTGTCTTAACCAGAATCTTGCAAGTACTATTAGCTTGTTAGTTGCAAATAATCTGTAACCATCAAGTTCTGGAAATTATTGGGTCCATGAAGTCAAGTCACAAGTCTTTTCCAGAGTTTCAAAGTCTTCCTTCAGATCCTTTCACAAGTTGCAGGAAAATCATTTGCTAATGAGAGGGGAAAGAATCCAACATTCACTCATCTGCTAATTCATCATTAAGGCCCTTGATACGATATCCTAATCTGAAGTTAACGAAGAATCAAACACTGGTAGCAAGTCTTTAGCAATGCAAGGTTTGATTGTTCTCCAATTAGTATCTCTGAAGGGTCTTGAATTGTACCAAACTGGCCCTATCAGGATTGGTACCTTGAAGTTAATTAAAGGCTAGTCCTTTCGGCTTTCGGCATGAATTAGGTCCTCTGTTGATTAGCATGCGGAACTTGATTCTGTCCTCAGATATCTAGAAATGTTCAGTGCCGTTGATATTGATCGCCCCCCACCCCCACCCCCCACCCCCTCTTTGACATCTGTCAATACTGCCATTGTAAGCTGCAATTATTCCTTCTTACCTTTCTTCTCTCTCTTTTTTTTTTTTTCCCTACTTTATGTTGACAGGTAAACCCTCAGCAGCCCACCATTGTGCCAGTAACCTGCAGCTGGTAAAATTCTACCTTAAAGAAAGCCTTCTTTTATATACCAAGATGATGATCGTGATGATGGCGCTATTGGTTTGGAGAATGTGAATGCTTTTTGCCTATTTCAAACTCAATAATGGCTACTACATTATACTACAAAAGCAAGCTAATGTTGGCCATCCTTACAAATTGTCTGCAGTAATTGAAGAACAGCATGTCATAGCAGAACTTTTAGACAATAATAAAAAACAAAAATTTGATGGCAACAATTATTAAGCTATACTCCATAATGGAGATGAACTTGGCCTCCTTTTTTGGACATGTGAGTGCTGCCTATGCATTTGTGGGTCAACAAAGAAAGAGCAGCAAAAGCAGGGAAACTAAGATGAAAAAATATTTATTTTTATTGTTTTACTGTACAAAAAACGGATGGTTATTGAATAAAGGTATCGAGTAATTTCTACCAAAAAGTTTGAAAGAGTTAGTAGGTTTTTTAAGGACAAACCTCTATTGTTACTGTCAAAATAGATTTCTCTAGAAAAGGAAGGAACCAAGGAAAAGAGAGAATTTCTCTGTACACTGACCTGTGGTGCGATCTTTATCCTGGAAACATGACATTGACCCTAACCCTAAGCATGCTCATACAAAGAAAAATTAGGACTTTTTACCAAACTACAGGCAGGAAAGTTGAAAATTGTTAATGTATATATATATATTGTTTATTAAGACAATGATTAGTATGGTGTTCTTTAGTTTATCTTGCTTGGCAAAAAAAAAAAGGTAAAAGGCATAGGAAAAAACACCATAGAAAGGGACTCGTAAAAGTGAAGTCATTTTCGTAAATGGGGACCTCGGATACTTGTTGGGTGAGGATTCTTTATGGGATTTCTGGGATTTGCTTGTTATTTACTTTCAGCTTTTTACCTAAGGTTTCGGACAAGATGGTTGTGGCATGGATCGTGGATGTTCTTCAAATTATTATTTTCCTCTAACTCATCATTTGTAAACAATGATAACCAGCATGCAAATATTTTATTGGAACAAACCTCAAAAATACAAGTAGTCTCAATTTTACCCCCCAAATAATTTTTTGTATCAATTTTAACTCCAAATTTCATGAGTTTTCGATTAAGGTCTTTCCAGCCATATTTGATCATGGATTCCATCTAAATTGTATTTGTGAGAAACGATGTCATTTTGTAGGGAACTTGACGTTTTCTGTTAAGAGATTCTAGTAAATGGATAGAATTGAAAAAGTTTAATTATTTAGGAATAAAATTGAAAGATCGTATAATAAGCGTCGATTCAAGATGCATATTGAATATTTTTTTTGGTAAAATATAAAAGCAAAATAATTAAGAAAACTCTCTTAAATTATATCAGCTCATATCAATGTCATTTAAGTTGTTAAAAAGTTTATGACAATATATCAATTGATACAATAGTATTTCTTTAAAAAAAAAAAATACCGACACTAATTAAGAATTCAAATCCATATGCATCAGAAAATAAATATATTATATATATTTTTTTAAAAAATATTATTTTATTTTATTTTTTTTAGGATAGAAATTTTCTCAGTGCAATTTCAATCAACAAGAAAAATCAACAAGTTGAAAAAAAAAAAAGCTAAATAAATTATATAAAATTTGGGTTAAGTATGTATATATTTTTTAATGAATATAAGATCTATTACTATTTATGTTTAAATATAATAAAAAATAAAAATAAACATAATTATAATCATTAAAATAATACACTAACAAGATTATGATAATATAATCAAATCACCAAACAATTAATTATATATAAACAATCGAACGATCAAAATTGTTTTCTTTTCGATTCCATCTGCACCTAATTTGCCTGAAAATGAGATACCCAACTACCCAACATGGAGCCCAACTGAAGATAGACCCAGCCCAATCTTAAGCATCTAAAGAAGAAGGGCCATTGCTCATAAACACCCAACAAACCAGGAATATTGATAAGGCCCATCATTCCACTTGCATTGATAAATCAAAATAGGCAAGAAATATCAATCTTTATCCATCCTTGTGAGATTTGATTTTGCTGCTTTGAATAAAAACCGGTGAATTTGGTTTGTAAAACTCAATTGCCAATCAAGTTTGACTGGTTTTTAAATAATTTGAGAATCGATTTTTCAACTTCTAAATTCGGATTAGAATTCTGCCTAACTAACTATTTTTTATTTAAAATTGGATCTTTTGTTAGATTTTCATTAATTCTAATGCCTAAATACATTTAATTTAAAAAAATATCAAAATTTATGAATATTTTGCTCTCTTTTTTCAAACTTTTTTTCCCTTCTAAATGCTAAGAAATAAGTAATTAAATAATATTTTAAAAGGAAAGAAACAAGTTTAAAGGAAAAAAAAAAAAAAAACAAAACAAAACATTCATAAGTTTTGATACATGTTTAGCTATTGGATAAGTTTAAAATTCAATTATTTGCAAATTACGTGTATTTTTACTGTTACATTTGATGAAAACTTAATTAAAAAAAAATCTTAATTTTAAATGAATAATCATTGAAAGAAAATTAAATTCTAAATTAAAATTTAAAAAATACACGTAATTTGTTAGATTCTCAAATAATTTAAAGTTTTGATTTTGCTGCTTTGAATAATAGTTAGGTTTGTAAAAACTGGTGAATTTGGTTTGTAAAACTCAATTGCCAATCAAGTTTGATTGGTTTTTGAATAATTTGAGAATCACTTTTTCAATTTCTAAATTTGGATTAGAATTCTCTCTATCTACTTTTTATTTAAAATTAGATTTTCTGTTAGGTTTTTATCAATTTTAATGCCTAAATGTAATTCCCCAACAGCTAAAAGCATATTAAAATTTATAGGTATTTTGCTTTTCTTTTTTCAAACTTTGTTTTTCCTTTAAATGCTAAAAAATAAGCAATTAAATAATATTTTAGAAGAAAAGAAACAAGTTTAAAGAAAAAAAAACAAAACATTTATAAGTTTTAATATGCTTTTAGCTATTGGATAAATTTAAAATTTAATTATTTGCAAATTAAGTATATTTTGCTGTTAGAATTGATAGAAACTTGATATATAAAAAAAAAACTTAATTTTAAATGAATAATCATTGAAAGAAAATTCAATTATAAATTAAAAGTTAAAAAACAGATTCTCAAATAATATAAAATTGATTGAAGGGTTGGACCATTTAACCATATTTTAATTGTTATATAAATAATAGGTGAGATTTTGCATATTTTAATTGCTATATAAATCCTAGGTGAGATTTTGTACCTTTATTTAGTCAATACCTACAAGGTCATGCCCAAATTAGGAGTCACCAAATGTCAAATGCCTTTTTTTTTCATCTTCCTCTTGAAAATAAATTTGAAATAAAATACTGAATTTTACATAATAGTTTACTCATTTTCCACAACAGGAATAAACTCCTTTTGAGTATATTTGTTTTTTCGTTCACCATTGTTATTCGAAAATCAAATCGATAAATCTGTTTTAATAAATATAATTTTAAAATTTGAATTTTATATGTTGAGAAAAAATTTATTTGAATTTTAAAATTTATTTAAAAATCAGTTAGTTTGTTAAACCAAGTAAAAAAAATAATTAAAAAAAGTTACTGTTGTCATTAGTGGGCCCGGTCAAGAAATTGCACAGATTTCACCATGGCAAGTCCCCCACTAACAGTTTCACAACGGTCCCCACAATCAACTTCTTTCTCATTTTGAAAAGAGAGAGCCAAAAAAAAAAAAAAAAAAAAAAGGGTTAAAATATTCTTAATTCCCAGGATTTAGAAGTTTACATTTCAGTTACTATTAGTTCAAAATGTTTCAATATTTAATCCCTATCTTCTGAAAAGCTTTCAATGTAACCCCCTGCTAGTTAAAATGAATAAAAATTTATAACTTAATTTATTTTAGAGTTTTTTTTCCTTTTTCCTTTTATTTTTTACGAGACATTATCGCATGTATAATAAAAATAAAAAATTTCTATGTATAGATTAAAATCCACATAAAAAAATTCTTAAACATTCTTGAATTAACATGAGAGAAAATAGTATTATTCAATTATGCTCAATACCAAAAAGCTTCAAAAAAAAAAAAAATTCTATTTTCTAATATTTTAACTCCAAAAATAGAAATCAATACCATATATAAAATTTTTTTAATTATAAATAAAAAAAATATTTTTATCTGTCCCAACTCAAGTTCATAACTCGTGAGAGGTAAATCCCAACCATATCATAAAATTAAATTTATTTCAAGTTTAAAAAATCATTTTACTTTTCTCATCCATACATTGTCCCCACCGTATAATTCATGAGTGCTAGAATTGAAATTATTATTACATACAACATCCAATTGAAACATATATGATAATTGAAGGATGTAAATGCAGTTTACCCGACAAAAAAAAAAAAAAACAAAGCAGTAACAAAACACAGAGAAAGACAGAGAGCGGCCTTCCTTCCTCGGCAGTAAAACAAAAGCACCGAAGAGTAAGATCGAACTCTCCTCCTTTCTCTCTCTGTACTTAGTCAATTGCTACTTCCAGTCCTACTAACACAGACACGGACTTCCTTCCTTCCTTCCTTCCTTCGCAGAAAGAGAGGAACGAAATCAAATGGAAGCCACAAACGACTTAGCAACAACGCCGTCGGGACGAAAACAGATAGTAGACTATCGAGGAGCCGGAGGTAAATTGAGAAAACCTCCGTCGAGGAGGCCACAGGCAACTCCGTATGCTCGCCCGCCGGAGAACCAAGTGCAACGGAGTCGGTGGCTGTCGAAGCTGGTGGATCCGGCTTATAAGTTGATTTCTGGGGGTGCGAACCTGATTTTCCCGTCTTTCTTCTCCAAATCGGAGTCGGTGGATGACGGTACTAACGAAGAAGAAGAAGATGACGGTCAGTTTTGATGGTCTCTGTATTGTTTATGATTAAATTTGATTAATTAGGGTTTCTTATTAAGTATTTCGGATTTGAAACTTTTTTTTCATTTTTTGATGCTGCTGATTTCTGAATTTTTTTTAATTATTTTTTTTTATTTAATTTTGTGTGGTTTCTTTTTATTTTATGTAGATAAATCGTATGAGGAGGTGGAGGAGCAGAATGCTAGTGGTGATGCTGCCAATCTCACTGTTAACGTAAGGAAAATTTAATGCTTATGTGCAAAAAGTTCAAACTTTTAATCGAACTAGTTGAACTAAGGAACGTTGGGCACTAAATGAATGACGTGTGTTGTTTAACTTTTTCCAAACTTCCAGTCTAGTTCGATGTACTTGAAAAATATGCTCGCTTTAACTTTTGCTGGAATCATTACTTTTCGTTCTAATTAGTTTAGAAGTTTTAAGTGCTGTTGGATTTCTTTAGGGGAAGAAAGACACTTGATGCAATGTCCTCTCGCATATTGAGATTGTAAACAGCAAACCTCATTTTCATTTTCATTTTTTTTTATTTGTGGGTTCTTCATGTCATTCTTTTTTATGCTGTATTTTGCTAGTTTCATTTATGTTTTGGAGAGTAATGTATTCTTCTAACAGCTTATCAGGGATAGTAATATATGTTTGTCATTTTGTCCATTCGATCCTTTTAAACTGGGATTGATTTTAATTTTAGAATTTGAAGTTGCAAGTTTTTATCCTCTGTTTGTGGTGTATTTGTGTAAGCATTTACTGAAACGATGTTTTTTTTTTTTTTTCAATGTTATACTGAAAGGGTGTTATGATTGAATATTGATGTATTCATGTACTGGTTGTACAACAGTCTAGTATAACATAAGCTTTTCTTTGGGCTCTATAGCTTGTAGCTTTTCTGTGAATAATTTAGCCTCACCTTTGGGAATTGTTTCTGGCAGCATGTGGCATCCAGATCAACTGATGTAGCTGGTACTAGCAGAGTGGCAGAAGTATCCAAGAGTGGCTCTGACTTTGAGGGCCATGAACAACATCAAAAAGTTGGCATGCCTGATCATAATGGGCTTTCTGATATCGAACAATTAGTGAAGGACAGAAAGTTTTCTAGGTAATGGTCATTTTGTGAAGAAACATGGACTTTTTGTAATACTTTTGCTCCACCAATGCCATTGAATTGACGTGGAGCATGGTTGCGATAATCCAAATATGAAAAATTCCAAGTTTTCTCCATCACTATGCAGGGATGAAATTAATCGTTTGATGGAGATTCTTCATTCAAGGGCAGTTGATTTTCCAAATGTTGAGCAAGAAAAGGAATACTCGAGCCTGATTGCTAGAGATGTTGAAAGGCCTGCTGCTGCCATTGAATATTCAAGAAAGTCAACTGATGAAAAGCGGGAAGATTTGAATACAGGTATTTGGGGAACCTCAAAAATTCAAGGAAAGAGATATTCAAGCGTGATTCCAGGAGATGTCGGAGGCCCTAAAATCCCTTTTGAAAATTCAAGAAATTCAACTGAAGAAAAGCATGAAGAATTGAATAAAGCTATTTGGGGAAACTCGACCCCTCTTGTCAAGTCAATTGTGAGTAGAATAAATTGTCGCAATCAATATGCATTTTCAATGCAGCACGTGTTTATAAATAGTATGCTATGTATATTAACTGTAAAGGTGCATGCTTCACTCTATTAATGTACTTTGTCATGCATCAGTCCCTGAATTTTCATTTCTTAGGGAAGATAGGTGCAAAAGATTATTCTTGAGATTGCTTATACAATTTTTTTTTGTCTTTACAACTTAGTCTTAGTACGCATCTACTTGCATGCACACACTCATATAAGCTATCCTTCCAGCATACCGTTGGAGTTAAGGCTTAAAGGAAATAACTTGGCCAGACTGTGACTTTAGGAATTGTTACTGCAACTGCTCGTGGGTGGGGGATAGAACATTGGTGCTTAATAGTATTTTCTGTAATGGCATGGCTGTCCACTCGAATCCTTTAAGGACTTTCTTTTTTCTGTCATCGGACCAATTGAAAAGGCTTTTGAGGAAATTTGGAAAAAAAGAAAGACAAGAATCTAAGTTATATTCACATACATTCATACATGATTTTGTAAACATACTTCTATGCTTTCTTTTTGTTTCACAGTTGCTAAGAATGGTTTACTTTTGTACATGCACAAGTGAAGTGCACAAAATTGGATGCATATTGTGTTTTCATTTTCTTATATCCATGGATATTCTGACATCTCTGTGTAATCTCACAGTTGCCAGATGATGTTGGAGCCTCACCAATTGATATTGCAAGGGCTTATATGGAAAACCGAACATCAGAAGTAGGCTTTGGCTCTAAGAGTTTAATTTCAAAAGATGAAGGGGCATTGTTGAATGGCAATCTTCTTGCATCAAAGCCATTTTTGCCATCTCCTTCACCTAAGCCATCCACATGCTGGCCAGGTGCCACAGTACAGGATCAGCGTGGGTTTCTGACTCCACAAAGTCAAAGAGGGAGATTTGGGCTTCACAGTTTTCCCCGAACACCTTATTCTAGAACCATTAATTCAAAGTCCAAGTCCCAGGTGAGTGGAATCAAGTTTTTTTTTTTAATGCCAATGGTGCTTTGTTGAACATGTTTCGTTGCATGTGGGATGACTGTTTTCTCTTCTGCACATCTCAGAAGCTTCAGTTACAGGGCGATAATAGTACACATGTGAACAGGACACTCTCTCCCTTTCGGCAGTCTCAAACTCCTGTATACGGACAGGTAATTTTTCCATATTTGTAGTCATTGTGAATTTCTGTCTTGTCAATGTGATTTATTTCAATGGGATGCTATTGCGGTCTTTTGTTATCTTTGACAAGAAAAATTAAAATTTATGGCACAATGGTGCGCTTGCGTTGGGGCATATATTTAGTGATTCTAGTTTTTGTAAGCTAAACAATGCTTCTGCTTGAGGATTTGTTTTGCTCTGGCTGAGACTTAATGCTCCAGTGGAATTTTAGATGAACTGGCCGCATGAAAATGAACTAATTTCTTGGCTTTAGGTTAAGTCTCTTTCCCCCTGTGATAGAAATGCTGTGGTTCTGTTGTCTGCTGTTTTCGTAGAACTGGAGCCTTTATCAATAAACTTTCTAGTATTGTTCTTAACTTCAATTGTTGAGTATGTAGGTGAATTCAAGGGGAAAATCAGTGTATGATGGACAGGGATCTGTTGGGCCCATTCGTAAGAATAGGATACGGCATAAAGTTGTTGCAGAAACTCCTTCTAGAGGGTCTGCTGATCGTCATTCAATTTTAAATAGTCCTCAGGTGGAAAACTTAAATGCTTTTGAAGGATTATGTTCGAGTGTAAAGAAGAGTACAGAAAAAGGAGAAACAAGTAGCCCTTCAGAATTTCTGTTAGCAGATAGCAAGCCACAAAGCTCCGAAAATGTTCCAACTGTTCCTCCGTATTCCAGGCAGATGGCCCAGAAAATATTAGAACACCTTGATAGAAACCTGCCAACTCCAAAAGAGAAATCTGCCGAGTTGAGGCTAGCCACTTCCTGGAAGAAACTCCATTCCTCAAGCAAGAATAATAACTTGACCAACTTGGGAGGCCTTTACTCTGCTAGTAAATCAGATCTGGCTGACAAAACGAATTCAGTTCAGGGGACTGAAGATAGAGGGAATGTACTCTTTAAATCTGCTCCTCAAGGAGTTTCTATTCAAGCTAATGATGCTGCAAAAAGTAACACTTCAGCTTCAGACATGAAGGCTGTGCCAAATGCCGCTGCATCAGAGCTTCTAAGTTTTCAGAAGAAGCCTCCTACTCACTCCACAGGGAATAAACCAGTTTTGTCTTCTATAAGCGTTAGCAAGCCCGGTCACAGGTGGGCATTATCTTCTGATAAGAGTTCCGGATTTACTTTCCCCATTTCTGCATCTTCAGGCGTACTCTCCGAGCCTCCAACACCAACAATCATGCCATCAACCTCAGCCACTGCTGTGTCTCCACCAAAAGATGCATCGTCAGTTCCTTCATATAGTTTTGGCTCTAAGAAGTCTGGTCCTGCCATTGTTTTTTCTTTCCCTTCAACTAGCAACGCCCCTGTACAAGACAATGCATCTTCCGATCCGAAGTTCAACTTTGGATCAGAGAAGACGACTAGGATATCTTTCAGTTCGATAGGACAAAATTCCATCTGCTATTAAATAAAACAATGACATTTTTTTAGGGGGTATTCCTAGGTATTCATCCTTTTCTAACATTTGTCAAATTAACCTTGTTTAATTATGAGTTATTGATAGAATTGACGTAGTTCTCATTTCTGATTCATCATAGGCCATCATTTGATAGCCCATAAGTTAGAGGGCCATGTCTGTTTAGGCCCCAAGCTTTGTAATGCCAATCCGGTGGGTTAAGATGGGGCAGAAAAAAGTGTAGTAATCTCTGGACTAGTTGCCTACTAAAATGCCGTTCTTTGACCATGTTGATACCGATTCAACTGCCGTTGTCCATAGGCCATTAAAAGGTAACCATTGGATCATGAAAATTGAGGACAGGGGCCTGAAGATAAATCGGGCGGTAAATTATGCAAGATTTCTGTATTATTGGTCGAAACTGTGTAAGATTGGCTCCTTTTGTAGATTAGGATTAGGTTTCTATCTAATTTAAGTTAAATGAAATTACGTAACACATTTGGCCCATTTAATAGAAAGATTGAAAGATTTAATTTCCGATGATTAATTTGTTCAAATAGTGCTTGTGGAGGGTCTTTGCATTAAAAGAATGATCTAATTTTGCTGTTTATACGGAGTAATATATTCAATAACTATTTATGCTTTGATCAAGAGTCTGATATATTTTTGTCCTAAATTAGGTATGGAAAAAGCCATTTCCATTGCAAGTGTGGAGGAATAAACTTCGGACAATCATACTAAAATATTTTTCTGGTGAATTTGTTTTTGGCAAGGTAGAAAGGAGCTCAAGTTTACTACGAGTTTGGAATGGTAGGAAATTTTAGAACTCGAGGGTTTGTGAACCGAACAAGCTTCGAAGATGTAGATTGATTTTATGTAAATCAATTTGAGAGAGGTTTAAAAATATATGTTTATAAGATCATAATCTAGGGCCACTTCTGTTTAAATTAGAAAAATATTGTGAAAATATTAACAGAAGTAAAGCTTCTTCTTCTTCTTTTTTTTTAATAATTTTTTAGGATGCTAAAACCACTCAAATGATCTAGTCGGACTGACCCACTTAATGTCGTAGAGGAGTTATTCTCTTCAAGGGGAATGCTAGCGGTTGTCAAAATTACTGGCACAGCCGCCACCCGGTCCATTATGTCCATACCAAATTATCACCGTGCAACACTGAAAAGAAGGGAAAAAAAGAAAAGAAAAAAAGTAAGGCTTTAAGTTCATCTCATTCACGCTCCCCTCCCTTTCCCTTACTTCTTTCACGATTCATGTAACTTTCAGTCACCGACAAACCAATCATGGATTGCCCACCAAATTTCATACCTTGTTTCTTCTTTAATGTATCGTTTTCTTGTTAGAAAACGAATCAAGCAAAAAAATAAAATAGAAAGATAAAAATAATCACATAAAACAGATATTTAAGTGATTCGACAATTATAACTACTTTACGGCTGCATTAAGATTTTTTATGAGAGTTTTATCAAGTGAGGGCTTAAAATATAAGTAATATTGCATTTATTTATAGTGTAGACAACTAACGAGACTACTATGTGCGTAGAGTCCTATATTACGACTCTTCATCCGCATCAATCGCCACAACTTAACAACTTTAAGCCTCCTTGTTATTGTTCTTGTGTTTCTTGAAGACTCACAAAGAAATTAGTTGGTAGAATTTGAAGAGATTGGCATGGTGGTTAAGTTTGCTTCATTTCTTAAATTTCTGAATTCAAATATTGAGACTAATATTTAATTTTTTTTATTAAATTCCTATAAATGCTTCATGTAAACGTAGAGAGTGTCTATAAAATTATTTAAGGAAAGAATTAACTTCGATTGACATGTGTGCCCAATTGAGAATACTTTTACAATCGAAAAAAAAAATATTGATAGATTTATTGTATGGGGTGTATGTTAGGTTGAGTCCATAAGTGATATTAGCACAACACATTGAGAAATTAAATAGAAAAATAACCATTATGAAATTAGAGAACACAATAAGAAATTAAATTGACAAATGACTATTGTGAAATTAGAAAAGAAAATTTTCTTTCTTATTTTGTTTTTCCTATTTAACAGAGACATGCGTATTATAAAAAAAGAGTTTATCAGTCTTTTGTGTACTATTAATAAGGAGAGTAATAGGATAAGACAAAGAAAAATAAGAGTTTTTCTTTGATTTTGTTGATTTTTATAACAAGAAAGTAAGGGCTGTTGGTTCACAAAACATTATGGTTTCTCTAGCATTGATTTTCGAGTGCTATAATCATAAAAAATTATAGTATTTAAGATTATGACATGGTGGTTAAGGAAGTTTGCTTCATTTCTTAAATTTTTGAATTCAAATTTTGAGACCAGCATTTAATTTTTTTTTATTAAATTTTTATAAATGCAACACGTCAATATAGAGACCATGTCTTTAAAATAATTTCAAGAAAGATTTAATTTTGATTGACATGTATGTCAACTCGAGAATACTTTTACTATTGAAAAAAAGAGAAGGATTTGGTAGATTTGTTGTGTTGGGTGTATGTTAGGTTTAGTCCATGAGTGATATTAGTACGACACATTAAAAAATTAAATAGAAAAATGAAAGGGATTTGTTTTCTTATTTTTTCTGTCTAATAGAGACATATATATATATATATATATAAGTTTGTCATTCTTTTGTGTACTATTAAGAAGAAGATTAATATGAGAGGAAAAAGAAAAATAAGAGTTTTATTTACTTATTTTGTTGATTTTTATAACAAGAAAGTAAGGTTTGTGGGTACACAAAACACTATGGTTTATCTAGTATTGATTTTTTAGTGCTACAATCACCAAGAATTACAAGTGTTCAAAATTGTGATCTCACATATCATTGTGAGATCACATAGAAATTTTATGATAGTCGAAGTAACTACAAATACTTACTCCATGAAGAGAGATAGACACAATAAAAAGAGAGAAAATTAAAAAAAAAAAAGATAGGTAGAATTTTTTTAATTTTTTGAAGATCCGTATGTAATTAATCTAGCATTGATTTTTAAGTGTTGCAATCATAAAAAATGACAATGTTTAAGATTGTGATCTCACATATCGGTGGATCTATGTGAGAGATTTTATGATACTTGGAAGTAATTATCAATATTTACTCCACGAGAGAAAAATTAAAAAAAAAAAAGATATGTAGAAATATTTTTATTATTTTTTTTCGATCAACATGTAATTTATCTAGTTACTTCTCAAGATGGATTCATAGAGTAATTATTGTTAATTACTTCTTGAGTATTTTAAAAACTTTTATGTTTCAATAAAAAAAATACATGCAACAAGTATTTCACTATATAGGCATGCCATTGATTTGTAAGAATAAAATTACAATACCAAATAATAATAATAATAATAATAAGTATGAAAAGAGAAGAAAATATAGTATTGAAAAAAATAATATTATCCCATAAGTATTATATCTATGAGAAATTTATGTATTCAAAAAATAATTATCAATACTTACTTCATATATAGTGGAGAAATAAACAAAATCTGTATCTAAAATTATTTTTGTTGGTAAATAATATAAATTATATTCTAAGAATTCACCTATTAAGTTAAATTTTTGAATTGAATTGATTATTTGACAAGCACATCACTCATATCATGGCTGATTTAACTCGTTATTGTTGTTGATGCAACTATAAGCTAGAAATAGAAAATTCAAACTCCCCGTAAGAAAGAAGTTAAATGCCACTATAACAAAACCAAGAAATAGCGACAAAAAAATCTATTGCTATATAGTAAAAATTCATCATGATACGCACTTAACAATGGATTCGCGAAATAGATGTTCCGTAGCAAAAGTCTTCATAGCTATTTTTTTAGTGATATAATATTTTTTTCATCGTTGATCAACGATGAATTATCCATCACTAATGCGTAGAATTTTTGTCACTAAAGCATAGTATACAATTGTGTCTTAGGTCTCGTATTTGTCATAAAATCGTCACTAATTTGGCCGTTTTTGTCACTAAAATTTTATCGCTAACGTTCATTGTAGATCTATAGCTAAATCCATCATAATTTAATGACCGTCACATATTTCATCACTAAAATGTAGTAAACGAGTCATCTCTCCAGTCTCTTGTTTGTCGCAAAACGATCGCTAATTCATAATTTCTATCACTACTTAGCGATAGAATTTACGTCGTTATTTAGCGACATAACTTCCATCATTAAATTGTTCTCACTAAAGTGTCTTGCGGATCCGTCTCTAAATGAAGGAATTTTTTAATGTAAATTAATAGCTATTTAATGTTAATGGTTATAACAAACAAATGAAAATAACACTTTATTAAAACATAATATATTATTTAATAAAAATAAAATAATATAAACTAAAATCAAATAAATGTGTAAATACATTAAGGTGTACGAAAATATTAAAAACCTTAAAAAACAATAAGAAATCTAGTCCTCATCATCCTATGTATCCTCTTTCGATTGTAATGTATTATTAAAAGGAATGACTTATTCCCGGGTTAGGGAGGTTAGCAAAAGGGATATGAATCTGTTGTAGGTTCCGTAACAACCCCATTATCGTCTATAACTAACCATGTATGGTGCTAACTTGACTGACTTGTTATTGGATAGTAATCTCCGTCCCTTTGTTGGATGGTGCTAACTTGATTGGCACGACAATTACGTTCGTCGCTAATCCGTCATAAAATAGGCGATCAATTAATTTTAAATGGCCGTTCATTTTTTTACAACTAGCAACGAAAACATTTTTGTCACCACTTAGTCGGTATTTAGCGATGAAAATTAATTTTCTATCTCTAATTCTTTGCAAAATGGGCCACCAATTAATTCTAGAAGGTCACCTATTTTTTACAAATAGCAACTAAAACGTTCTCGTCTCTACATAGTCACTATTTAATGATGGAAAATAAGTTTCTATTGTTATTCCATCATCAAATTGGTGGCTTTTTGATTTCAAATGGCTACCTATTTTTTTGGATTTAGTGACGAATTTG